TGATTTTTGTCTTCACATGGATAGGTAAAACCAATTCTATATTCGTGTTAAATATAATCATATTTAGATATAATAGAGAAGATTTGTAGCTCAGGTGGATGATTTTGGTGTGGTTGTGTTCTCTGAGCTGGATGGTTTGGTTGCGAAGCTTTCATTGCTCTACTGAGCAACATCTTCAGCGCATACTTCGATGTGAAGTGAGCTTTTAGAATTCTCTATGACTTTATTAGTCATCTCTTCTAGTAACCCTGAACGTGATTGGTTGTTTTCGTGTGACATTTCATCCCCTAGTTTGCTTGTCTCGGTGCTGGCTGCTTCTTTGGTTTGAATGTCGTTAGTCATTCCTTCTGCTAACCTTGAACGTGATTGGTTGTTTTTGCAGTTCCCTTTGTCTAAGATTCGACTGGGACAATGTTCAAATCTTAGACAAAGGGAACTGCAAAAATGCCAGAGAATTCCTAGAGGCCTGGTATTCAAATGAATCAGCAATCAATAGACACATAGAGATTGACAAAATATACCAATCCATACGAAGAAATTCACACAAAAACAAAGTCAAACTTCAGGTCAAGGAAACAGTCAACACCAAAACAAGTGAACTAGAAAGTGAGAAGTCACACAAAAACAACCAATCACGTTCAAGGTTAGCAGAAGGAATGACTAACGACATTCAAACCAAAGAAGCAGCCAGCACCGAGACAAGCAAACTAGGGGATGAAATGTCACACGAAAACAACCAATCACGTTCAGGGTTACTAGAAGAGATGACTAATAAAGTCATAGAGAATTCTAAAAGCTCACTTCACATCGAAGTATGCGCTGAAGATGTTGCTCAGTAGAGCAATGAAAGCTTCGCAACCAAACCATCCAGCTCAGAGAACACAACCACACCAAAATAGTCATATTTGTATGGAGTGACAGTATAATGTTATCGACCTCAAATGTGATAATGCAGAACAAAACAAAATCTTGGATAAATTTGAGTATACACACCGTGATTAGTCTCAGAATTAAATCCTCATATTTCTAACTGACTATATATGATATAAATAAGCCTAAATTTTGAGATGAGGGTTGCAAAGATGCATAGTGCAAACATATTTACGACCAGATCATATTACCTTAACTGAGTTGTCGAATTAATTGTGTTCTATTGTTAGAATGTTGGCTCACTTGATACATACCTATCTAGTCATAGACCCTTGGGCTTCGTAATGAGCATATTTCTGTCACCGAAAATACTGAAGGCACATAGTTGACAGTCTAAAGTCATTAAGTTGTGAGCATTTCAGCTTTCCATCATTTAGTTATAGACAAGTGACACATCATATCCAACTTCTGCCGACCGAGTTTATTGATGGTTGACTGTCAAAATCTCATTTTGTTAGAAAGTGGTGAACGGATACGTACACATGTGTGCTAAATGTAACGTCCTACTTTAAGATCAGCAAAATAGAGAAAATTCCCGATAATGCCTATCTATTTTCTTCTTAAATCACCTGCACTTAGGAAAAGGGAGCATTAAAATTCACAGAAATATTATAACTATTGATTCCTTACGTTCCGAGTCAAATACAGGGCTTCAGCGGCATAAATCTATTCCACTCGGTTCTCCAACATCACTTTTGTTGGTTTTACAACAGCCCACAAGCTTTTCTTTCACCTTCATAAAATCTTCTCCATGTCTGGTATATGATGTAACTTAAAAGTTTCTCCAGAGTATGCCATTCCCATAGCTGCTTTCCTGTGCATATACGTTAACTACTGGGTTCTCGACTGCTTAGTTCTCTGAGTTCTTTGTTCCTCGTCGTTTCTGCCTACCGACTGATCTCCAGCATGCAGCGGACGAGTTAGCTGTTGACGAAAGTCTACAGTTACCTGCTGGAAATAGTTTTGGTGATGCGCAGTGCGAGTCTCCAAAACTTATAGAGGCATTGACTTGATATTAATATTGAAATTCGAATCATGTCCACTGTGGTGATTGTTGTAGACATCCACATCGATTTCACATTAGTGAACAGCTGTCTTGCTTTCTATGATCCTCTACCCAGCTGCATGTAGGTGGAACGATGCCATCCAAGTAAGCGAAATAGACGAACTTCTTTGCACTATTATCATTTATAGTGTTTGGTGTTTTTTGTTGTGATTGGATATCTTCATCACTTTTCTCCATGTTGACCTAAAGTCTTATATGGGCTGCCTCTTCAGCCAAACTGCTGGCTTTAGTTTGTAAGTATGCGAGTTTGTAGTACACGAGACATGAACCACCCACGAAGTCCGGATCACACAGGGTCTTTTCGCTAGCCAACTTATTCACATTTCACTCAAGCGACTTCCACATGATCCAATCCAATGCAATTAGGAAGATATTCAGTGGAACTACATAGTTTCGTATTATGATTGTATCCACTTCAAACGATTCAGTGAGCTACTGTCTGTAAATCAATAGGCATGCAACATCACTATACAACTGTTAAATAATGTTTATAAAGGTTTCTTTCATCTCCTCTTGTAGTATTAATGCAGTTGTCAAATTCTTTCGAGATCGAGGCTCTTGAACAACTTCTCAAAGTCGATGAAGCTGAGAAAACAGTTACCAACCATTCTAGGCTCTTTTAATTGATGATACATAATGCTCCAGCTCTCTCCGCACATGGTCTCTCATCCCTAAATCACGTCTGTTGTTGTCAAAGTCTTCCATTCAACAAATCTTTCAGTCTTTCTAGAATAATGTGGTTTAATATTTCGCTCAGAGTGGACATCATCGTGATTCTGCACCAGTCCATGTGAAGTTGCCGTGATATATAATTATTATTAACATTATAGTAGTAATGAAACCAACCCACAGTGGTCCGAACAGTTCTAAAATTTCACTTTGAAAGCAAATGAACAGATATAATTCTTGGAAATCAAATGACGGAAATCAAGGGAACCTATTTACTTAGCGGTCTTTGTGTAACAATAGGGTCTTCTCAGTAGCTAAAAATCAGAGACATAACATTTAGAAGGGTTGTTTGAATTGCGTTGGTTGACTTTCAATGCCAACTGGTACTAATTTACTTGTACTCTGCATCTGTAGCGACTAAATCTCCGTATTTAAAATACCTTCTAGAATGTCATATATTCACAGCTGAAAAGTATGTTCTTATTCTTTACTTCGCCGGGGACGACAGTCAGCACGCAGTAGGTGAGCTTTTGGAATATTTGCAGAACACGTAATTCTGATATTATTTCTCCGAATATGTGGCTTCTAAATATATCATTGTAATGGAAAGAATGTTTGGCGAATTCCTCGTGGACGACATTTTAATGATATTTAAACTTATTTAGACATTTTAACTAACTTTTTAATTATTATACGTTTTCCCCCTAGACTGTGTATCATTAATTTGATATTTCAATATGACATGTTGATTTTGACCTCTGTTTTTTATCTTTGTGCTTCTTTAATCTTTAAACGTAATACTCCTCTTTGTGGTTGTGTGTACATTTACAGCATGTTGTTTAACGAAATGAGATTGTTTCAGTGGATGAAGGTCGTTCTCACTGTCTGAGACTGTCTCAGAGAAGTGTTGGTGTGTAATTCTTGTGGACAGAGCTTTTGACCTCAACTCGTTGGGAATATTCTTGTCGATTCTAAGGCACCTTGTACAATTGCGCTTTGGTTAACTGATTTTATCCGACAGTACTTGTTTTGTATTTTAAAACATACATTGCCTATATATATATCTGCCCCACGATACCGTTGACGTAAATTTGAATTTCGATGTTATATTATTGTTTAATAGAACCTCAAAAGATTTGAAGAATGTTCGTCTTTCCCTTGAGTTTGGAACGTTTCGTGATAAAGCGTGTCTCAACAAAGTTTCTTTCAACTATACAATAGAATGTAGGAATAGGTTTCTTGAGTTCGGACCATAACTGAAAAGATCACAGTCATATACACCATTATTTCCTCATTGGATTATGCAGTGTCATTCAACACATTCAAGTCATACATCTGAAACAATAAAACGTTAAATCCTGTGACAGTATAATCTCCGTTATTCACCTAAACGAGTTTGAATAATTTTCAGATGAGATTGACCAAAGCTTTTGCCTATATGTGGAGTATCAGATCAATCAATATTCATTAAAAGATTCATCTGAAAGACAGTAAACGTGTCAAAACAAATTTCATTGTTAGTAAAGATGTATATTTATCAATGTGAATGGAAAATATAACGACGTTGAATTAACCGACGTTTCATTATTTCACGGTGACAACTTAATCAATCATAAAAAAATTTGAATTCATGAAATCTCAGGTAATATACAGTGACTTGATCATTTTACTTCAGTGCTACGTAACTCATTTTTTCAGTCGTCAATACTCAGTTACCAATACAATGCATAGTAAGACATAGATGACGGTGAGAATAGCTAGTATTGAAACACAACGTATGTAGAGGCAATAAAGATTCATGACCGGAAGGTTAGCGGTTTCGGCTGAAATTAAGAGATGCATAGGTTTCCTCCGAAACTGAACAAATTTGAGCACAATGGTTCAATGTCTAAAACACTTTCCATGTGACTGCACTAGTTGTATCCCATTCACAGACGAAAAGTACTCAATTCGGAAAGTACTTTAATTACTTCAATTTGAAATTTCGAGGAAGGTCACACAACTTACCAAATTACAGACATGTACTATTTCGATGTCATTCGCTTTTTGCATGAGATGAATCACATTCTCATTGATCGAGGCCACATAGTTTTGTGTATATAAAGGAGTGCATGAAATGATGGGATTCATACAGCAATAATTCTGTATTGCGTTCACACTCTCACGAGAAGAATCGTGCGAAATGGCTCAGAGTTTCAGGAATATTCTATTGTTCCTCTGCATCATCAGTTTATCTGTGCTGGTTCAGTGTGAATATGTTTGTCAGATTGAGCCGAATATAACTATGGTCAGTGCAGAGAGAGAGTATTGATTTTCTAACTCACATTCCCTTTAGAACTATGGTGTTTTGGGCGAACCGGTCGACAAGCGTCAACACGGTGGCAACAGACTTAAATTTATTGTGCAGTATGAAGAGGGTTTTCGAAGACAACCATCATTTCAACAATTCAAGGTAAGACCGATCAATCAAGTGAATTTGTACATATCCTGTATTTGTTTCTGCATTTATGGCTGAATCGTTGAAAAGAAAGATTTACTCCTGTACTGGTAGATATTTTATGTTAAATTATAATTATAATTGCTACTTTCTTGGTTAAATATTAATTAAAACAATTAGTCGCTTTGATAAATTTGAATAAGGCATTAAGAAGACAAATTTCGCGAGATGATATCATTTCGTAGTTTCTTTACAACCGCTTTACAACTAACATGGTTAACAATAATAAAATAAAGCTCATGACAATTACTCAGTTAAATAAAAACAAAAGTACATACTAATGACCAATCATGTTTAGAAAGGTCATGTAGTCCAGGGTAGGCGAAGATTGAAGTCTATTGACTTTTGTACACACAGTTTAGTCTGTATGTGATTAATCCAAAGTGCTTCCATCACCTTCAATAACCTTGAATTAGAGTTATGTGAAATAATTGTGAAACAGTCATTAATATTAATTTTGTGACCTGACGTTAATAAGTGTTTTGCAATGGATGATGCTGGATTTCTATTCAGATTACTGGCATTGGGATTTACTATATGATGTAGTAGCCATTTTGGAACATGTTCTTTCCGACGACATTGGAACATTCTGTTGGTTCTACCTATATAGGTGTCACCGCAGCTGCAGGTGAACTTGTAGATACAGTTTGAAGTAGAGTCCACAGAATTTCGTCCTTTAATCGTAGGTACAGGTATTGAAAATGTTCGGCAAGTGAGGAAAAGAGATGCGGCGTAGAATGTGCGTTTGATGGCTGACTGAAGTCTTTGAGCTAGCTGTCAACTGCATAATCTGATCACCCTTGAATGGTAGGTTAATAAAGATAGCTTTCTTTGGTACCGAAGCTGTCTTTTCGAGATGTGGTCTTTCTTTACTGTGACAAGTGATAAAGTTTTCCGGATACCCATTAGCTAATAAAACTGAATGCATATGTCGAAACTCATCCATCATTGTGTCACTCGTGCATATTTTTCGGGCCCTTGAGAACAAACATTTCACTAGGGAACGTTTATACTGGATAGGAACAAAACTGGTAAAATGAAGATATTGTCCACTCCATGTCTGTTTACGAAAGATAGACCTCTGAATCGTACCATCATCTCTCCTGGTCATTATAATATCGAGAAATTAATTGCTTTCATTTTCATTTATAAGAATGAAGTCGTTCAACGAGCTCTTGATTTCTGGGAAAGAACGCTGAGTGTAAGAAGACCACCAAACAGGAGACTTCTAGTTCCAAGGTAGGTAAATATTCAATGTATTGTTAGACAACATTTTTCTTTATGTATATCATCTTGGCCATCATGAATAAAATAAGAAGCCTCTTACACTGTTTCGTAGATGTGTAAATCCTTATATGTACTAATTTCAACATTCAATTCAGGGGATTTGGTTTGTATTTCTCTCCTTTCCTTTGATAGAGCATGCGTTGAAGGCTATTCGAATGTAGATGGACCCACAGGCAAAAGGTTTTGCAGACAACAATGCAGTCCTCACGCTAAATGCGATGATTATAAAGTCCCAAATCAATTTGCTGCCGTAAGTTTCCTCTAATCATCTCAGTGCTTCAGAAGGATATTTAAAATATATATGTATTTCAGTGATCACTAGCCTATCTGAGAAAATTCCATGAGAACTATCGAAAGGAATACTTGGTGATATGAATAAGGCGTCTACTGGAACAATACTAAAACGATAAACAAATCTAATTCTTACAAATCAACTCTTGAAAATTGATCTGATGCTACAGGATGGAGTCTACCAAAGAAGACGTGACCAGTGAGATACATCCAGTCAAGCGTGTGAGGATGAATTTCCCGCTGACGACATTGGTTTGTGGTCGCACCAAAATCACTAATTGATAGAAGTTAGAATTTATGCGCTGGTCAATGAATTTGGTCCCAGTGGCTGAATGATATACGAGCTTGCCGTGTAACCAGAAGATCCTGGGTTCGTACCCCGGCGGTGGGTGCGTAGTGCCGATGAGTCCCAAACTAGGATGACACAGCTGTCCAATTGAGCAGAAGAGAGGATGGTTCACTCAAGAGAGATGTACATAGAAAACCTACATCTGTAGGACAATATACACATTTCCTCAGTTTTGTACCAATCCGATATAAAGTCAGCTTGGTCAGATGCCTTACGAATAGAGCAAGAAGTATTTGTACAGATGACTCCCTAGAAAATGAGCTAGGCTATATCCAAAATACACTGGTCCAAATGGGTTATCCTAGTAGATTTGTTAGGAGACACATGAACACTAAGTACAATAAAGAAAAACTGACAACAGTTAAAAAGAAAGAACTGTTCATGAAACTTCAATTTAATGGGGACGTGGCTAGTGAAGTCTTACATCTGCGATTATCGAGAGCGATAAAACGGACTTATACTGCCGTCACCACCCTTTGTTTTTCATTTTCCAGCCGACCAATTTTGACTGCTCAAGTGAAAGATAAGCTAACCAGTTGTGCCACTTCGATGTGTATCTATAAATTTAGTTGCTCCTGTGGAGAAAGCTATATAGGGCGAACAACTAGACAACTTAACAAACGCATTAATGAGCATCTTCCTTCATGGTTCGGAAAAGGTCAAATAAAATCCATATGAAGTTCTATTTTGGCTCATTTGATTGATAGCGGTTACCAAGTGGACAAAAATAGTGCCTTCAAAGTTATCTATCGCATTCCATCGAGCCTTTCAAACGGAATCAGAACCCGTCTTTTACACTTAGCCGAAGCTATGGGAATTAATTCGAGAGAACAATCCTAGTCTTTTCATACAAAAGAAGTTTGTTCTACCTTTGTCTCTCCCTTGGCCTAGGTGAACTGTATTCAAAACCCTCCCACCCTTTCTTATTTTCCATCTCCTTCGTACTTTTATATTTATTTAAACCCTGATTATCGTTCCATTTCACCTTTTAAGATTTGACCCAATTTATTTATACACTTATATACATATACTATCTTTGTTATTCTTATCACCTGCATAAACCTTATTATCAATATTTTGTTATCATTATAATCATTGTTATTAACAACGTTCAAAACATTTACCACATTATTATTATTATAATTAAGATTATTAAGATTATTATTTGATTCCCAAAATCACCGTCATTGGTTAAAATTTTATAAATAAATCTATGTAAATTAGAGTAAAGCCTGAAGAAGATCTAATTGAAAACAAAATTGTTCGCTTATATGTCTTCTTCTAATATTATAAATCGGAATATTTAAAGAGCTGTCCAGTACTCACTATCTGGTTTTCAATGGTACTCTAACTGATATCAATCCGTGGTAGAACTCGAAAAACAAATCTAATCCTTTCAAACCAACTCTTGACAATAAAACTTTCGGTTTATCTGAGATTCGATTAATCAGAAATAAGCAAAGACGTGCAACTGTGTCATTAAACCTTTTGATGGTAAAGCGAACTTTCGACAACACTTTCTGAATGTAAATCCACTTTCGCCACACTATGAACTCAGTTGGAACCAGGTATTAAATTTGCGAAGTAATTATAAAGCTAGCGTTCAGTCAGATGTGATTTAAGCTTGACATCATCAACTTTTGAGCTCACTAGCATGCCCCAATTTTATGGTATTAAATTACTGATTGTGATTCACAGGGAGAATTAAGTATTTCGACAGTTTTCTGACAACATTTTCACGAACAAATAATGTTTGTCGTCGGCGAAATCGTTGTGATAATATTTTTCACTCTACACGGACATGAATGAGTAAATTTATGTAAACGTATTTCTCCACTTTTTTATTGTTTCTATTCACAGGGATGTTTTCAAGGACCTGATGGTGGAAATCTACGACAGGTTAGCCAAGATGGACCAGGATTTGCACCAAATGAGTTCGTGATATTCGTGGATAGCGTGAATAAAAGATCTTGTAAAAATGGAGCGACAGTGGCTTATGCCAGTCCATGTGAATTGCATCCAACAACTGATAGGTAGATTATGTGTACATTATTGAATTGCGAAATTGTTGTGAATTTTGAAATGAGTTAGCCACACTTCTCTTAGCAGTTTGCTTTCTCTAATCAGATGAAAATGTTCAGTCAAAATGTTATAGTTATTATACGTTGACATAAATGTTACAATTTTAATGACATTGAAATTGAGAATGTGACCAATTTTAACAAAAAGTGATCTGTTCTGTTTTGATAGTGAGTCACTGAGCTGTAATATCTCATAATATTGATTGCTTGTTTAGCGATCTAAACCATATCGAAATGAATTTCACTGATTATAAAAATTAAAACGAAGTAATTGAAAACGCGAGGGATTTGCAAGAGGTTACTTCATTCACTTCACTGATCTAGGGAGCATTGTCTCAACTACAGGCAGGTGGAACGGACGAGGATGTCAAATCGAGAATCGGGAAGGCGAGAAACACATTCATCAACCTGAAACCAATCTGGAAATCTTCGTCACTCAGCCTGCATAAACAACGAAATTCGGATTTTCAATACAAACGTCAAGTCAGTCAGTTCTTCTATACGGATCAGAAACTTGGCCAGTGTGTCACAAAGAATATTTCCAACAGCCTGTTGCAGACCTTTATCAACAACTGTCTTCGTTGGCTCTATACTGAAGATCAGATGGCCGGAAAGAATCACTAACAAGAAACTATGGGGACAAACAAAACAAGAACCAATTGCCCAACAAATATGCAGGAGAAAGTGGAGATGGATTGGACACTCTGCTGAGGAGGCCACTGGGTGACATCGCGCGTCAGGCCAGTGCTCGAGTGGAACCCGAAAGGGAAGCGACGAGTGGGACGTCCAAGAGTGACATGGAGGAGATTGTTTGAAGATGAGTTGAAACAGTATGGACTAACATGGATGCAGGTGAAAAGTACAGCAGAAGACAGAAGCAAGTGGAGAGGTGTAGTTGAAGCCCTATGTTCCACTAGGAACCCAAGGGAATAATAAAGTAAATAAAAATAAAAAGTTGAAAACAGAGAACCATCTGTTCTAATCTTTCAAATGCCCCAATGAGTATTTCTGATAAACAGGAAGAAACCGGAAATTAACTGACTCTTAAGACAGTTATCTTAAACTACGAAATCATTTTGCATTTCTTGTCTTAGAAGCAATCTTCTTTTGGCAGCCTGATAACATCTATACAGTTGGATGGATATAGAAGGCTCTTGGGATACTTTTAATGGCGGACTATTGATACTTTTTACGAGGGGGTTGTCAATTAATGCATTCACTAATGATCTTAGAGACAGTCTAATCGGGACGATGCAATAACATCAGATAGCACTAGGTCAAATGTGAGTAATTACGTCATGAAACGACATACTCCTACTAACAGAATGAAATGCGTTGTTGTATACCACTCACACCAACCGGCAGTTAGATTGAAGCTAGATTGCTGGCTAGGTTGAACGGGACCTAAGTAGCAGAAGCCCATTTCTCCCTGTTGAGGCTGAGCCTATCAGCAGTTTACACAACCAGATCAGTTTCGACCACCTCGATTTGTGGATAGCCGGTAATTATGGTTATGTTATTCAAATATATATGTACACGTAAATATAAACATAACTTTGGTATAGTTGATGATAACGGAAATTATAGATTGAGTATACAACTCATCGACTTCTACTCTTCTCATTCTAACTGTTGAAATGACGTTGAGATGTGCCTCAATGTGTGGTTCATTTGCGTTGCTGTGGTGTAGATTCATTTGAGATTAATTACTAATATTTATATTGACGAGAATAATGACAACTTCATGATGAATAGTACACTTAAAGCAGTACAGATTTTTCCGCCTATTTTACGGTAAGATATTTACTCCTTGTTCAAAATCTTCAGGTAATGTAATCACCAATAATGCATCACTGAAAACAACATCATTCCATCCATTCCAAGCTCCACTACCCCACGAACGTTCTCTCCCATTTCCTGCAAACACTTCGTAGCACTAGTCTGAAATCTTCTTAAAAATATGTGTGTGATGGTTAAAACATAAGCAGTGTAGTATATCGGATGCATTTTCATGGATGGAATAAATTTGGTAGCCAAGAGATTTAAGCAGTCCGCCGACATCGAGAAATTCCTGGAAGCTTTCTCTTTTCTAGAGAGTTTGAAGACTTCCCTTGTGTGAAATATTCATGCAAATCACACAAATATGAGGTCTGCATATGACAGTTCAACTCAAATTGGACACTCCTTTTTCGCTATAAACTCTCCGAGATTTATTTTTTCCGCACTGATATTGTAGAC